CAGGTTCAACTCTTCGAGTTGACGCAGGTATTGTACACAGGTAAGTTGGGGAACTAGGGATCGAGCCCTGGGATCTGCCTCAGCTACCACGAATTGGTGAATACCGTTTCAGCCTCAGGGTCACATCAAAATTCTTTACCGAAGTGGTCCCGGGCCACTCTGGTGGCCTAGATTTTAATAGTATTGACTCTTGAGTCTATTGACCAAAGTTTTCCGAGTTAGTTTGGCTTTTTTTTTTTTGGTGATTTGTGGACTTTTATTACTATATCTTTATAGATTTTTTGTGTTCGACTTTCGCGCGGTGGTTCTCTTGTGCAGGTTATGTACGTGGGAACGGCGAAAGCACGATCTGTCATCAGGAGGCACGAGTTTGTTTTCCCTGCAGCGGATGAACGCGTGAGAGACGAGGAGGAGAAAGAAGGAGGGGGTGCAGAACATGAACAGTCTAAATCCAAACAAAGGAAAAAGGGGAAGCCAAAGAAGCAGAGGTCGGCACGGCAGAGCGGTACCAGCAAACAGGAGCGAACAAAATTTGATGTGCTTCTGACATCCTATGAGATGATTGTGATTGACAACAGTGTGTTTCGCAATATCAAATGGGGATGTTTGGTGCGTGCGACCTCGTCCGACCCCCCTTGTGAGTTCATATTTGTTTCTTTTTTTTTATTATGTGCTTTGTTGTTGTTGTCGTCGTTTCGGTTTCCCCTTTTCTTTCTTTTCCTCTGTTGTTCGTTCGTTGTCTTCTGAAAAAAAAAAAAAAGATGCAGCCGTATGACGAATGCTGCACCTTCCTATTATAGGGAGCACTCCCCAAGTTGGTTTTTCAGCTGATTCAGGTTAACCCTGGTTAACATGAGCAGATGGGCACCCGCGTAGTTTGTCAGCTGATTTAATTCTTAGGGGAAACTTCACGGGAGTCACGAAAAATGACTTGTGATTGCGCCATGGTAACCCCGGACCCGGACACCGGACACCGGACACTTCCGGACCAGTGTCTGGACCGGTCCGGACTGGGATCCGGTGATCCGGACATCACCGGACAGCCCGGACAGTCCAGACCGGTCCCTGAGGTGCAAAAACGTCCGGACCCAAAAGAAAAGAAAAAAAAAAAAA